TCTATTCTTTAAGCTAGCGAATTTTATCTGGCTCTGTAGCCTATGAGTATATAACATATATAGTCACTATACCTAACTAAGTATAGTGACCACGCGGCTCTGCCACGAGCGACCCTTCGTACCTTAGGTACGGTCACATCAAACCTACCACTGTACCCAAGGTACAGCCACACCAAAATGCTGTGGCAGGTGTGTATGTACAATACACTCCACTTTGTAACCCCGTTACACCCTCCGCCACCGATCCGTGGTACCCAGCGTACCCACGATTTTTTAACTTTATGTGGAGTTCTGTCGACTCATTTTCTTCTCATTTCGCTTGCCTCGCAATAAGTTTCTTGCAATTGCGTGCACAGCTTTGTGTTACGACACTCAATCTATGATCATTTGTGCTTTGCACTCACGCTTTTTGCACCCTAGTGTTCTGACACTTGCTTCTTGAGCATACCTCTGCTAGAAAGCAAAAGCACTTTTGGCGCGGATATTGGATCGAGTCAGCCAATATGTTGAATGTCGGGCTATCCGACTTTGTAGACACTGTAAGCGTTCCGGACAATAGTCCTGGGCGCGATTCCGAGTGACATAGGTGACGAGGTACTAACCCTGGAGGGTCGAGTAAACTCACAACAGGATGTTGCCTTTGAGGACAACAAGGTGCAAGCACCTGATGACAAGGTGCTTGCACTGGAGGGTCGAATAAAGTCACAACTAGATGTTGTCTTTGAGGACAACAAGATGCAAGCACCTAACAACGAGGTACTGACCCTGGAGGGTCGGAAGAAGTCACCAATGGATATTGTCTTTGAGGACAACGAGGTGCAAGCACCTAGGGACGAGGCATTGATCCAAGAGGGTCGGGCAAAGTAAATAATGACGGTTGGCTTTGATGAAAACGAGATGCGAGCACCTCATGACGAGGCATTTGACCCAAGAGGGTGGGGTGCAGTCAGCAAACGAAGTGGTATTTGACCGTGAGGTGTGTATGCCTGTAGGCGATGTTTCGTCGGATGCTGAAAGCATCAAGAGAAGAGATACTAACATCGAGACCTACGGTGATAGCGAGCAGCTGTATACACTCGTCAATGGCTTGAATGGGGATGTTGAAGAGCCGTCGGCTCTTTCACCTATACCCACAGTAAGTGCTCTGTTACAGCTGGAAGAGTTGTCATTTGTCGAGTTTGGCAGTGCTTTACAGGCAGGCAACATTGCCAAAGTGGTCGTTATTCGACCTGAGGAGGAGTTGAACTGCTCATTGGTTTTGGATAAAGCAGTTCTTGAAGATACGAAGGAGGCTCTGAATGCGCGCAGTGGATCACAGATCCTGAGGACCCGTCGGATTATTGCTATCCTTTGTTGAAGGAGTATAGCAATGTCGTTTCCAAAGAACCTCCTACGAGGTATCCTCCGGATAGAGGTGTACGTCATGAGTTGGACTTGTTTACAGGAACCAAATACTGTGTGACGCGACAGTGGCCGCTGCCACACGAACAATGTGACGTCATTGACGAGTTCTTTCATGCCAGCCACGCGGCTGGCATGGTGCGTGAGAGTAAGTCTCCTCACGTTACGCCGACGTTTTGTGTGAAAAATCCTAATGGGAAGTGGCGAATAGTGCATGCTTGCAACAGGCTGAATGCAGCCGCTATCCCGGCTCAAACACCGATTCCTCACAAGAATGATATTCAATATAATATTGAGGGATGTACAATGTTAAGACCTATTAGCGTTCCATGATGTCAAAATCCAAGAACTTTACATTTAAGTCCATCGGGACTTTGGGTACCGTAACACGCGTACCAGTCGCTAAGCAAACTGTGAATGTGTCACTTTTACGCTTTACAAGCTCTTCAGCATACTGCTGACTATCTTCCACGGTGGCACGGCGCACATAACTGCCCGACGCCCCCAAATCGATCAAAATGATCCATGGCTTTTTATAGCCCTTACCGTCCCTTCAACGACAAGAAAGCCTGGCTTGCATTCTCGTTCCGTTTCTGAGAGTGTGGGTCTCCGGGTGAGGCACTGCTTGCTTTGACCTCCTAAAAGCTTCAATAGAACTCAGTTCTTCCCCGCTAGGGCGCCCCGCGACCTACTGGGCTCCGCCGTTTCCCCGAGACAAACCAGAAGGTTTACCCATGGGTCGACGGCCCTTTGAGGCCAAATATGCCTTTCTTGCAGGGCATTTTGCCATGAAATGGCCTGTGCTCTTGCAGATATAACATCTGAGCACAGTTTGCTGCTCCGCAGCTTGACCCAGCTTTTTCATCTTCCACTTGACTACAGTCCATGGGAACAGACCCATCAGACGAGTAGTTATATGTGGCAGGCCTAGCGGCCTTTAAGTTGGTCTCCGTATTCCATACCACCCCCAACAGCTTCCTCTAACGAGGACGGGTTTACTCGAAAGACTTTCGTTCTGGCAACGCCAATTGGGAGGCCCTCATTGAAGACCGTGACGTTCACTGCCTCAGGCATAGGATCTATGACAATGGCAGCAATGAGAGCTCTCAACTCTTGTACATATGCCGCAAACTCACGCTTGCCTTGGCGACACGTCAAAACTTGCGGCCGATTTCGGTGTGCCTAGTTTGGCGGTGCATACTGCCGGATCATCTGAGCTTTCAGATTGGCCCATGTTGTGCATGCATCTTGCAATGATGCATCGCATGTGAATACCTATTGCTTGGCTAATCCACCCAGCTTACCCGTGGCCAAGCCAACACGATACGGTTTATGAGTGATGTCGGCTACAAACTTAGCCTACTCAACCTGTCGGAATCACATCATAAGGTTGTCACCTTCCTTGCCGTCAAACTTGTCGACTTCAATATGTATGGATTTTGGTCCGCGGACTGCTTCCTGCGCTATAGTGGCCATGGGCGTAGACGCAGAAAAAAGCATCTGTGCCTTTACATTCTCGACTATAGCGTTGTTATATTCTTCAAGCATATGAATACGCTTGTTAGCCTCTTCCTCGCCTTGGGCGATGAGGCATTCTACGCCCTTAGGTCCAAGGATAGGGAGCGGCTTTTGCAACCCTTCCTGCTGTGCCTGTGACAGGCCAGCCGCTGACATCTCTTTGATGTCCATTCTCACAGAGAAGTAGTTTCAAACCCAGGTGCATGATTGACTACAAGTACCACCAGGTGTAGCAGAGCTACTGTAGCCAAGCTAATTATGCACTAAGTGCAGAGTAAGACAAGCTCAAAAAAGATTCTATGTCTCAGGGTTCTTAACCCTTCTAAGGCTAGCTTTACAAGCTTGTCTATATTGGTTGCAGCAGCTAAGTCTGTGTGCTGAAGCTTTCAAAGAACTGGTAGGCCAGAGGACCGTTGGGTCAAATAAAGAGGACCCACACAGGAGGAGCAACCGTTAGGTTAGGGAAGAGAGACTGGGCGCTAAAAGGGACGGGGGCAACCGTTGGACGAGGAGATTGAACGGCTTAAGCGTGCTCCATTCAGAGGAGATAACTGCGGTGGGTCTGATGGGCCGCGGTTTCTCGAGGTGGACCCCAGTCTTATCGAGGTTAACCCTGATCCCTCATTTATAGACCCTAATATTTCGTTGGTAGAACCTGGTCCCTCGGTCGATGGACCCGCGACCCGTAGGCCCCTCGGTCGTTCGGCCCCTTGGTCACCCGGCCCCTCAGTCTCCCGGCCCCTCGGCCTCTCGGCAAGCAGAATCAAGAATCAGGTCTCTGGGGTAAAGATATAGTAAAGAAGTTAACAGATATGACCATATTAAATACTACTCAATTTGCGATCTACGTAGCACACCTCCGTCGTGCTTCCAAGGTACTTACTAAGTCTACGCACCTGTTCCGGGAAGCGATACATTTTGGCCCCCCGTCGAAGACAATTGTGTGGTAAGACCCAAGTGCGAATAGAACCCCAGGATATATTTGGACTGTGGGTTCGTCGGAGTAGCACCCCAACTCATCCCGCTATCGGAAGCGGTCTTCCTACCCTAGTGGTCCGGGAGCAGGTAAACGCCAGGCGGTTAACACCCCTGAGATATCGGGAAGGAAAAGGCCAGGGTTGAGTATCTCCCCTGAAGAATTTGGTTATAAGTCCACTCTCGACCTAGTCGACCGAGTGGCCACCTATCCGCCTACCTAGTGAAGTATATCCACTCGAGGCACCTCAAGGTCAGTCGATCTCTCTCAAGGCCGACACCACATCTCAATCAAGTCCTCCGAAGAGTGTAACCCGCCAGCCGACGGGTACACAAGGCGAGAGAAGGTCTATACGCGGCATCGGGATACCCCCTCCGACAGTCGGCAGTCCGGCACAGTGAGTGGCTTGGGGTCCCATTACGCAGTTTTGAGAACCCACTCTACCACATCGGCAAGAGACCAGTATCAGAGATACTGTATTTTTTCTTTCAAGCAATAGAACACTTTAGCAACTAGTGCTATTCAGAGCAGGTTTGAATCTGGTTTATTTAATGTTTATCTTCTAGTCACTATTTACTGGCTGTGTAGCCTATTGTTATGTAAACATGTATATTCATTATACTTAAACCGAGTATATAATTATTGTCATACCACTGCAGTGCTGTGTCAGTAATTATTCCAACAATAATGACCACGTCGATGCGACCCTTTGTACCTTAGGTACGGTCACATCAAATCTACCCAAGGTACAGCCACACCACAATGGTGTGGCAGGTATGTGTGTACAATACACAGGTATACTCGTTAGGTCTTGCTTGATAAGATGGTGCAAAGCTTTTGATGGATCGCGCAACACATGAATTTAGCGGCAAAATATCATCATGATTGAGATAAATTAAGATGAAATGACATTCGTTGTGTTCTGCATTGACTTGAAAAATGTTCCAATCCCGCAACACGCTGTCGAACTCTTCTTATTGCATAGCTTATCTCTCAATAAAAAGTATCGATCAACATGGATCCTTAACACTAAGCCAAGTGCTGTGAACATAACAAACGCATGAAGTATCATTGTTCTAATGCCTCGCCTACTACGTTGACGTTTTTACCACGAAAGATCCTTTGAAGCGTCTGCTACTGCTGACGCAGGAGTCGTCTGTTTACTCGAGCAATCACTGCTACCACAGCTGCCCTTGCTGGTCACAGGGTTTTGCACTGCCACACGGAAGAGACGATTGCCAAACTTCTTGTACAATGGCATTATACCTCCTCCAGCAAGCAGACGCTCCTCAAAGAGCGACATATTAAAGCGAAATGTCTCTCCGCCCACCTCAATCGTGCGCCCAGTCATGTTCACAGTGATATCAACGTTCTCCTTGGCCAGCTCATAAAAGCGGTCGTCGTCAAGCTGGATGCCTACCAGACTAAAATTCTGGTAATTACGCGAAAAAATGTATCCAAATGAGCGAGCAATCAAAGCTTTCACACCAGCGCCCTTCATGGCAGTCACAGCCTGCTCGCGTGATGAACCACAGCCAAAACCATGACCCGCAACAACAATGTTTTGACCCTGCTTCACCTTCTCACGAAAGTCCGGGTTTGTGTGCAGGAAAGCGACCTTACCCAACGCCTCAACGTCGTTCTCGCACAGGAATTCGCCCGGTAGAATCGCATCGGTGTCAATGTTATCACCAAAGACCTGAACGCGGCCATTGATAGAGCCTGAAAACGTTGCCAGAGAAGCAGCATCCTCAGCATCAGCTTTGCCATTGGCTTCAGCCGAAGAGTCTGATATCTCCGGATTCGCATCAGCAATTGCAATGGATACCGTGGGCTGCTTGGGCACAGCCGACTTGAACTTTTCAACGTCAATTAGCTTGAGGAAAGGGGTTGGATCCGTCACCTCCATTGCAAAACTGGAAGCAGCAACCGTAATGGCTGAAGCAAGGTTAGCAATAGAGCCCTTGCCCATACGGTTGCGATAGTTCCGGTTTTGACTGCTAAGCCAAACCTCGTTCTCCCCAGCAACATCGGCAGCAATACCTAGGCAGAAGCTGCAGCCTGGAGCACCGACAACGAAGCCAGCCTTCTCGTACACGTCGATCAACCCGTGCTTCTTTAAATTGTTTACAATGATCTGACTACCAGGAGTCACTCGACGCTGGCCATGAGCTACTGGCTTCATGCCTTGATTCAGGCAGGCCTCGAGCACAAGAGCGCCAAGAACCAGGTCCTCCTCCGCAGTAGTACAAGCACCAATAAAGCAGCCGTCAAGTTTCATACCCACAACGTCTGACACGGGCTTGACATTGTCTGGCGATGGGAACAGAGCCACTTGAGGCTCAAGGTTGTCCAAATTGATCTGGAACTTCTCAGCGTACTCAGCGTCCTTGTCAGCACGAAAGTACAATGCGTCCTGGTTATGGTCCGGGCGCTTAGAAATATACGCAGCAGTGCACTCATCGGCAGGAAAAACACCAGCAATACCGCCAAACTCAGCCGTCATATTACTAATAGCAAAACGAGCATCGCATGAGAGGGCCGAAATATTGCCACCCCACTCCACACAACGGCCAATAGCCACAGTGTTGCACTTAAGCTGGCCCAACGTATAGAGCATGACATCCTTACCACCCATTCCAATAGGAGGCGTGCCAACAAACTCAATCAAGACCGTCTCAGGCACCTTAATCCACGTCTCTCCCGTCACAAGAGGCATGACAACATCTGCAGCACCGAGACCAATAGCAAAAGCCCCCCAGACCTCCAGTACTACATGAATGTGAATCGGCACCGACCACGATTTGACCAGGTTGGGCACGTTGACGATAGAATTCTGTATGTAGAATCGTTGTATTGGGTGGTTGAAAATTCGTCAGTTGTGCCTCCTTGGCAAAATCTTCCGATGCTTTGATCATCATTTGCTGACGTGGCTGGTGGTTTACACGTGGATCGACAGTATGATCAACAGCAAGCCAAAAGCGGTCATTCCGCCATATACGTGGACGACCCATATCTTGATATGTTTTATCCATAGATTTCCATGTGATTTCACAGGCTAATGTCCATTGTACTTTGACACAAATCATTTGACCAGGAATGACTTGAGGTTTTGTAAGACCTACAGCCCAATGGGTTAAGATCTTTTCGGGTAACGTGAGTGGTCGGCTCATACAAGTTGAAGATGTTGTTGTTGACGTCATTCTAATGCGAGTCAAACGTGGAAATTTGAATAATGAGTGGTAGAGTGTAAGTGGATTTGCGACATGTGAGGGCAGAGGAAGGACGACGTGTAGAAAATGATATGAATACAAATTGCGCAAACATTATAAGAGTAAAAACAGGTTTACTATGATTCGATAGCTATTGCTTGTTTTTTTGTGTGGTAAAGCCAGTCATTAGTACGTGGAAGTAGCTTGATAAAGACAATGTTAGATATAATGTCTCGTGTAGCTCATGCAATGATAACATCCACATATTGTAAAAGCGTGAGAAAGAAGCAGTCAGTCTCTTAATTACTGAACTGCAACACCCACTGCGATAAGTTGTACATGTTTGCGCAAAATCAGATGCGACCTTCGCGTAACCATCACCCTACCCCTACAATCTACTTCTAACGCGTCTCAATGACGATTTTATCTTCCAGTCAGTAAGAAATTCCTATGCACGTCCTAGTCCGAACTCTATCCGTACTGCGTTGTAACATCTTTTCTGCTTATCGTCGTCGCTATGCGTCGTCTACCTTTGGCGTTGTTTTTGATGTAGATGGTGTGCTACTGCGTGGCAAGACACCAATTCCAGGGGCACGGGAGGTTTTAGTAGAGCTTAAGGCGACCAACATTCCGTTTGCAATTATGACTAATGGTGGTGGCTACGCAGAAGACAAAAAAGCGCGCCAACTTGAACGAATCTTGGGTGGTAATGTATCAATACCTACTGAGTTTATCTGCATGAGTCATACGCCTATGCGTCAACTAGTGAATAAACACGGCCATGAACTGGTACTAGCAGTCGGAAAAGATTGTAACGAGATGAGAAAAGTGATGGCCAATTACGGCTTCAAGCACGTTATAACAGTGGATCAGTTACATCGTCATTTTCCTACTATGTACCCGGATGTGAACGTGACTGAGCTCCTACACCATGACGGACGTTTTGATAAGCAGCCGTTCGCTGCTGTTTTTGTGCTCATTGACCCGATCTATTGGGGGAGAGAACTGCAGCTTGTCATGGACGTCTTGTGCTCACCCAATGGGCTATTGGGACAACGGACAGTCGAAGGAGATGGCAATGGTGAACGTCAACATATCCCGCTGTATTCGGCGTGCTCGGACTTTCAGTATGTGGGTGAATTTCATCTCCCACGGTATGGTGCAGGAGCTTTTCACGCTGTCTTGGAGGATCTATTTACTCGTACAACGGGACACATGCTAAAAAAGACACTGTTTGGTAAGCCTCAGCGCACATCGTTCACGTTTGCTGAGACGCTCATTGACGCACAGCATGACAATGTTGAACGCATTTATATGATCGGAGACAACCCAAAGACGGACATCCATGGCGCCAACGAGGCTGGTGGTAGATGGAAATCTGTGCTTACGTTGACGGGCATGCACAATGGGCCAAATAATCACGAGGAGCATCCGGCGTACAAAGTTGTGGACGACGTAGCACAGGCGCTGGTCTTTATCAAGCAGGACTTTGCAAGATTACAAGCAGAAAAGTCGGCAAAGTGACTAAACTTCAATAACGCTGGTTTAAACAGCGTCAGGAGACGAGCGATGTGTATTGCGTCAACTTAAGAACGACGAAAGTTTCTATCAATTGCGGCTGGCACGTATTCTTCTTTTCCTTGGAGTAGTGAACTTGCGTCAGGTCTTGCAAAACGTAATTCCTGTCACTCGTAAACTTAATGCCCCTTGTCTTAAGAATGTTGTTGTTGACTTATGCCTTGGCTATAAAGATGTTAGATTTTGCCTGATACAGGTGATCTAATAAAGACAACCTGATGCCACAGCGCCACATTTAGTGACGGCACCATTATTGAGGCCGAGCAGCGAGATGTGACGATTGCGCGACTCAGCACGTTTTATTTGTAAGGACTTGACCCAATTGCGACGGCAAAAATGTATCTCAAGGATGCTCAATGACCAGTAAGCTAAACATACGCCATCCAATATGTCCCCGACTGTTTGTTCACGTAATATTTCCTCACTTCTATGTATCTAGAGCCATGTCAATGTAATTAGGTCCCAGCTTGCTGCATCATCCAACGCTGTACCCACAAGAGCACACGTTCAATGTTGCTATTCATATCCTCCACTGTTCGACTCGATAACTCCTGCACAATCTCCATTGCATAGCTTTCACGAGCTTCCTGTAGCACTACTTCCATGATCTCACATTCGACGTTCTCGGCAATCTTCTTGTCCGAGTACCCACGCTTTTGTAACCGGTCAAACAGCGTCGTATTGTCCACACGTAGCACGACTACGAGGTCAAACCATCGCTCTGGAAAGAAGTCGCATGTATGAAAATCCACCAATTTTCCTCCTTCCGCCATCAAATCCTCCATCTCATCGCAGACTTTATCTTCGTCCTGTACGAAGCAGTCGAACTCTTCGTCGCGACCACTGTGAAGCCCACGCTCCTTTACCTACAGCAAGGCCACATTGCAATAAGGACACTATATCTCCTCCTTGTCGATATTAAACAATCAAAAAGCTAACGCCTGTTAATAGTACAGTAAAACATACCAAGTCGCCGACATTTACATGCGAAAGATACTGTGAACGTTCCTGCAGGAATTTTAGAAGTTGTAGGCATCAAGAGGTAGTCAAAAAAGGTGCGAATGGATGCACACAACATAACAAAAACTGTTGCTTGAAAGGTACTCGGGACAACGCACCGCGAGCTGCTGACACATGGACGTTTTGCCCGTGCCAGGAGTACCCGTAACGAGAATGTTCGGAGCGCGAGTCATTGTTGCTGGTTGAACGTTAGTGGATATCATTGGTTAAAACTTGAGAAAAATTGATAACCTTTGAGCCGTCATTCGCTCAACTGCGTCCTATAGAAGGTAGATGGTGCAGCGTGTAGACACCAAACATGTCGCTGTCCAGGAGTACCGATTACGTCCGTAACTCTACTGGGTGTGACTTACATGGGTCAAGCCTCTGGTAAAGAAAGCAATGCCATATTTGGCCGACGCATATTCACGAAAACGTGCGGATGTCATATGAGTACTGCATGCCCGAGAGAACCAGAAAGAGTAAGCGGTGCCTTCAATGATAGATTTTGTACTATTTTCTTGTTTGCCGACGGAGATGGAAAGCATGTATGCGAAAAGCTTTGGAAGTACTTTGGTAAGAGTCCTACAAGTGTTGTTGGGTCGAATTATGTGCTGCTGTCTTGGTGCAATACTGTAGTTTTAAGCTATCTATCTCCCTCTAGCCGCAGCGGTGGATTGGCTGCAGATTTGGCAGGTTTCTAAGTTTAATGCCAGATCCATTTGATCAAGCTCCTTCAACTAACAACAGAATATTGAAGAAAAGGCCCATTTAAAGACTACATAGGTCATGTGTGGGGATATTCGGCATATTATTCAATGTCGAGGCATTTGATTGCCGCTTTATGTAACATGTAGTCTTGAAGAGGAGCCCTTTGCTGCGAACGAAGTTGGCAAAACAAGAGTGAAATTCATTGTCTGTTGCTTAGACAAAATTGAGAATTGACCTGCGTATGTTGCGACTTGATCAGCAAAAGCCAAGATTTGACGTATCTTGGTATTGAAGCGAGGACTCAGTGTTCTAAGCCGATCTATTGCGCCGCCATCACAGGCAAAGCTGAAGGTCGTCGAGTTATTAGGGTCGCAGAAGCCGTTTCCAGTGATTGGAGTGTACATTCCAGCGCTAAGTATCGCTCTCCTGCAACGGAGTTGAGGAGAATTTGTTTGAATTGAATAAATCCATTCATGTTCGAATTGGAGCCATCACCCTTTGACATATTATCCCGACACTTACTGGTAGTGGTTTCGTTCGAAAATTAGTGGTGAATGTCGAACAACTAAAGGTGCATAAAATTAGGCACACAATCATATTGCTACAGAGGATGTCATATTTGGGTTAGATGCGGAGGCCAAGCTTGTGGCAACTATATGCGAACCTTATCCTGAAAAGTTAATTGATGCAAGGTGGAATTCTGGTGATCGCTTAGACGGAACGCTCTCTCTTGACGTGCAAGCTTATCAGCTTTACGTATCGCAGCATTTGATTCTCAGGTTGTCTTGCTTACTTCATTTAAAACCGACAGTTTTTATTTTTGAACTCTTAGCGAGAAGTGAGTCGATGAGCAAGTGGGCTATTAAGCATCCTAACCTTTTTTTACTCATCCAAAATGGAATACTAAAGGTGCTTGTAGCCTCCTGCCTGGAGTGATGTTGTTGTGGACAAGAAATCTAATGAGAAGAAGAAGATCACGCAATTGGATGACGTCTAGCCAACTTTTTGTGAGCATTGGGATTTGGAAGTGGGGACAAAGCACGGCAGTCACTACTTACATATAGAAAAATTGTCAACAAAATCACCCGCTTTGTCGATATGCTCACAGTCAAAGTGATGATGACTCTGACAAGCTTGGTATCAACACCTCCAATGACTTGCCTTGTGCTATCAAAATACTTCAGTGCCCCAATTCCTACACATACTTCCAGCACCTGGCTGCAGTTTTCAAAATGGATCAGTGCTCCGTACGAGGATCAGCACCTGCTGGTATTTAAACTACAGGATTACAACAACAAATACTAGAACAAGTACTTGTTGAGGGAACGAATGTCTGTTACTATACACTGACATGGCACGTCTTAGCGCGATACAACCACTGTTGACGGTGCATGCTGACAGCGATGAACAATGTGACAACTGATCTTCTCGTTCATTAGGTGGCACACGAGAACATTTTGCGAGTGAAACATTCATTCCTAGGAGTCATGCATCAGAGCAATTAGACAGATACCCCGACGATGGTTTTAGAATGTTGAGACGGGTAGCAGAAGGCCAACGATCATCACCAGGAGAAGTGGTGATTACGAAGGCGTTTCTGATTGAAACTCAGAGCGTGTTTTCGGATAATTCTTCCCCGATTGCGGGCATGATTGTTCAGGTTCAGATTGATCCTAACAAACTTGGCATCAAGTTGGCTGGTGTGGAAGCATCAAGTCTCAAGGACTGTAATGAGAGCCATGGACCGTCGAAGAACATGAACTTGGTGGAGAGCGTCTTTTCTTCACGGTGTAGGTAATAAAACGGACAGCTGGATGGAAATGCGCTGGTGCTACCTCATACCTTGCAAAATTTGTAAGCTCGAGGGTAACCCTGTGCCCATTTCGTCTACTGGAGTCCCGATGGATGGCTGTCGTGATGCTGGAGTCCCGATGGATGGCTGTCGTGATGCTGGAGTCCCGATGGATGGTTGTTGTGATGCTGGAGTCAGGCAAACGATGATGTAGGCCTACTTTGCGATATTTTCTGTCAGTTGAGGTGTTGAGATAGCAAGAGAAATGCTATGCTGTCATTAGCGAATTTTATCTGCCGTGAGAACTTGCGTCGATCGATGAAAGTTCTGGTGGGTGGAAGATGGCAATAGAGTAGGAAGTTTAGGCGAGTTAATGAGTCAATGGTTTGACAATGGCATAACGACTCACAGTATCGATCGATACTGGTCGAGTTCGGTGCCCGAACAAGGGTTTGTTCATTTGAGCAAGGTTTAAGTCAGAAAGCTGGGATGTAACAGTGTTACACAAAGGTGTGTATTGTAGATACACACCTGCCACACCATTGTGGTGTGGCTGTAGGCAGATTGATGTTACCGTACCTAAGGTACGGAGGGTTGCATCATGGTCATTATACTTAGTTAAGTATTGTGACTTTACATATTAAATTCAAATGGATACCAAAAGCTTATTATTCGTCCGTAAGTGTGGTGATCAACCTCAACGGTATGAATTCTTGCGACATAGAAATGATTCGATGATTACGAAACGCACATGTACCCATCAGCATAATTGTGCTCTCATTTGCGTTCTACCAACAACCAGAGTAACACACTCACAGAGCACATCGGTGCGTGTGCGCCGCAGTAATGCTCAACGATGTCGAAATATAAGTATTTTGCTTATATTATTGAAAAAAAGCGTCTTACTATGAGGTTCTAGAGGTTGAAGACGTTTGGAACTACCGGGTTAAGAAAGGAGGTCGAAGAAACAGGACGAGTATATCTAGAATGAATGTAGTACGGTAAGACACGAGTCTTCCTGGCCAGATGAGTTTCAAGTTACCTAAAAGGTAAACAAGTGCTTAGTCTTTCTGTAAGACTTATGAGCCCAGATACAGACTGATAACACGGTGCTTCATGACCACTTCGATACTCAAGACCAAACATGCAGTCTTCGGGTTCTGGAAGCGACAAAGATGCAAAATCGGCTAGAGAGGAAATCCCGATCAATGGAGTGAAGACGATCGGACTTTCTACAACCACGCTATGATTAACGCGTTTGAAGAAAGCTAAATGGATCAAATTGCTGAAAAATGTGAGGTATTTTTGAGGATGATCTTTGCAAAAGGCTCGTATGTGTGTAAGGGAGCGTCTGTCTGTTCTGTACGGTTGCGAATAATCGTGATCTTGTCTGACCATACATTGAAGGTAGTGGTATGGAAAGGAGCTGGCATACCGTGAGATAGGCAGTAAACGGCACGACAGCTGGTAAACAGTAACTGTAGCTTAGCAAAAGCAGAGGGACAAAAACAACGGCATAAAAAAATTGTACCCTCCTCAAATTATTAAATTTGATAGGATATGAGCCCAAGGCTGGACAAAACGACGCGAATGTCGCACCGGCATTACCAGGTCACGCAAGGGCCAAGCCGGGACATGCTCCGTCTCCATCGCGTAACGCAATGCCACCCCGAGCTGCTGCAATCGTTGGAGACCCTCCAGCTTACAAAAGTGAGCTGAGCAACCGAACATATGATTCTTGCGGCCCTCTCTGACCTTTCGGATTGCATGTAGAAGATTGAGTCGTTCCAGATGGAAGCAGACGAACTTGACCGCATGCGCGGAGCTATAGAGTGGACACTTTGCATCGATGCTTGGTGCGAAAATGTGCGCTATGAAGGTGACAATCGATGCGCTGTAGGACTCTCCAGAGCGCAAACCAGCATCTCGTCAATCACGAGCGCCTGTACCACTGCCTGTTCTTGAGGTATCGCTGATTTTTGCTCTTATGAACTATGACCAATGCCGTATCACCAACAGGTGCAGGCGCGTGCTGTGAATAAAGATGCACCTCATCGTGCAGAAGGTCCAAAACCTTTAGATCCAGCTCGATATCAAGCAGTCTTGTGCTTTGCGACATCTACGGCAGCGTAGCGGAAACTCACGATTCGCAAGTTCGACGGCACTGAACACCATTGTGGGTTGAGGTCTGTTTTTTTCGACCCAGGAAGAGGTTCCTGAGACGAGTCAATTTGGCTGAAGCATCCTGTGGCTTTCGCTGAAGCAAAGATACCACTGTGGATTTGCTCGGTCACTACCTCGCTGATACGGCAGAAAGGTACTACCACGAGCAAGTTGACTTTTGGTGAAATCAGCAAGCAACGCTCAATTTCGTTACGGGACGCCTTTTGTAAACATTCAAGACAACGATTACGGCTGGGCAGTCAACTAAACACTTTGCGCAAAAGAAAAGTGCAAACAGATCGTTGGCCGATCATTTCCTGTATCTAGTTGAGGTCAGTGATGCAAGAGGCGGTGCAGAATCACTGGTCTGCATCCCAGATCAAAATCGGGTTCCGAGTCGTTAGCAGATGGATCGCGTAGTGTGGACCACACACTTCGGATCACGATCACGACCAAGTCGTCGTCAGCGGATCGGATCACGTATGTGAGCCACCTACTTCGGATTGAGATCGCAGATCAAGCCTTTAGCGGATCGGATCGCGTGGTGTGGACCACATGCCCGGGATTGTGATCGCTCATGAGGCAACGCGTGGCGCTGATCCTGTGATACAAGCAGGCAATATGGTAGTTTTTGGGATTATCGAACATAGGGCAGTATTGAATTTGATAGATGCGCAATTTTCGGGATTGTCGGACATAGGGCAGTATTGAATTTAATAGATTAGCCATAGGAAGTGTTTGTACCTTAAGCTAGTAATTGGTATAGGCATTGTGTAACGAGGCGAGAGCTCCGTTACGTAGCCTACACTAAAGGTCTTACGAGGAAGCGTAAGAAGTACGCAATTTACTTGCGTACTTAAGACCAAATTAAACTCTGTTTATTATTATTAAGGTTAGATTTGAAATCCTAAACCTTCTGTGAACCACCCAAAACGTGCCAACTATTAATTGGGTGAATGGGGCTTAACTCCACTTTCGACCAATCAAATAATGGCACTAAAAGATACGCTATTCGTATCGTTTCCTTTTCCTACTTTATGTAATATTGTCAATATCCCTACCTAATTATGCATAATAATGGGATCGTTATTATTGCCATATCGTACTTGATATGATACGACCCCGTTACACATTGGTTAGTGACTAATACATAGGTAACATCTGATACGTATCGGTGAGACTAGTATCAACGTATACTAAAATCCCTTACACGGAATGTGACTAAGCAATAAATGGTTTACATTGCAGGCTCTAAACTCGTTCATATGTGTTTTGATCTTTTAGCACTAATTTTGAAACCCCTACTCTATACCTAGTTCTAGTCGCAATATTTAACCGGCTCTGTAGCCTACATATGTATCCATAGTACTCAATCAAGTCCTATGGCCACGGCAATGTGAACCCACGGTCACATCAAAGAGGGCGGGATCTAAGGATATTTAAAGTACAGCCACAACAAATGATGTAACATGTGTGTTTGTACAAGACACACCTTTCTGTACCCGTTTACAGCTAGGTTAATCTATCGCAGATCAAGTTCTGAGCCTAAATTACCTGGGCATTAACAATATGTAAGTAGATGTTTCAAAGTGTACCTTTTAGCGGAAGAAATTCCACTTTTATTGCAAGGTGCTTCATTATGGAGCAAGGCATTTGGGCGGGCCTCACTGGGATCAAAGCCGTAGTAGTTTGGACGATAAAAATGTAGCCTTTTTCGATTTCAATCTGAAGAGGAAGATGTAATTTTTAGAAGTGCCGCTGATGTCACATTTCTTTTTTTTCTATCCATGGGTTTGTATCTTCGCTCGCTACAATAACATTTTTGCCCACTTTAAGTTTCCACACCGAGATAAAAAAAACTTGCATGCGGATTGATAGGCATACAGTGTTGAAGATCGGAACAGTTGCCGCAAAGCAGTTGCAATATGTAGCACGACACACCCGAACACTTGGTGTCAGAGTCTCTATATATGCATGGGGCAGAAAGTTTATAGTGCCACAATTTGGGTGAAGACGCATACCTTTGGCGAAAGACAGGAAGCGTTGTCAAGAGCGCTGATGCAAGGATAGCAGAAGAAAAGTAAGTCGACCAAGTTTGCGCGACAGGTACAAAAAATAAGTCAAATTGATAGCGAACAAACAGCTAGGGCAGAGCAGCACAATTTCAGTTTCCTTTTTATCTTACCAAGCGCAATGGCCAATACCGACAAAAGATAGTACCGGCTTTTTAACGGCTGCCGCGTTTCTGTCGACAACTTGTTTCAACGTTCCAAACAGTTGTATCAGTTTAGCGACGAATTAAGAAAAAATTACGCTACTTTGTACCAGGCCGTTGTAAAAGGTATATGTTTTCTTTTTTATTTGGAAATACATAATACAAATACTGTCCCGAGAATCCGTGGGACATTTTTTCTGGTCCGAGAAATAGCATGAGGTGAGCAGTATCATTGCGTTCAGTCATCACACCAACATACGAAAGGAGAGATAACTATGGCGATCGGAGCCAACATTACAATGCGTCTCCACAAAGCTTTTGCCCCATTGACTGTCGATGAGAGCAACCTCATCGAAGCAAGTTCGTCAGGCTTCTGGGATATTGAAGTCTGGATCTTCGCTATCAAGTAGTCTAAGCGGTTTTTAATTCGACGAAGAAAACAATTGCAAATCCATTCGTCACACGAGACAGATTTCGGCCTTAATGTCCTATCGGGACCGTCTCTTCTATTCCGATTCCAACCTCTCGTCTTTCCTAATCTCTTGTCTTTTCTAGCCTTTGATCTTTTCTTACCACATATTCGCTATAAAGAACTATACTTGCGTCCAAATTTGCGTCTTTCTGTACTTTGGACACAATTACAGTGTCAAACGAGTGAAATTGGACTGTCTTTGTATCAGAGCTACTGCAGCAAAGCTACTTATGCACTAGGTGCAGAGGAAGACAAGCTTAAAGAGCGTATACGTCAAAGGGTTTATAAACCTCTCAAAGGCTATCTTTGCAAGCTTATGCCTTTTAGTTGTAAACAACCACGTTATCAAAAGACTAGTA